TATATATATATATATATATATAGCAATCTTCCTTTCTCCTGTGGTTAATTCTTCATGGTGTATTCACTGGCTTGCATTCTGCGGCTGCGTCTACACTGAAGAATGAATGCAGGTTGATACTACTTTAACTGTAGTGGCTCAGTGCTATGGAATTTTGAGATTTGTAGTTTTGTGAGAGATTTAGCCTTCACTGTCAGAGGGCTCAGGTGCCACAGCAAACTACAAACCCCAGGCTTTGATGGGATGGAGCCGTGAAAGTAAAAACAGTGCCAAACTGCATTAATTTGGCAGTGTGGCAGCAGTATGTAGGCCTAGCACCAGCCCTCCACAACTTTAGACAAAAGGTACTGCTGATGCTGCCTTGTAATTTGGCTATGTGAACCCTTTCAGAATGAATTCTCTCAGAAAGCCAAGAGGCTCTGCTGATTGATAGGGGTGGTGGTAATAGCAAGAACCTTGTATTTTAATCCTTCTACAGTGCACTTGTTAGGGGAACTTAAAATGGCAGCTTCCACCCTTGATTTCATTTGTTTTAGCGCTGCTGTGAAGCCCATTGCACTGTAATGTCATTAGGGTAGTGGGTCCACTGACATTGGAAAGGACTGAAGCTCTTTGAATGAGTGGGTAGCAGAGTGCTAGATCCATAGCTACATCTAACTACTTGGAAATTCCGTGTGGGTGCATCCTGATAGTATCCTATGTCACAGAGTGGCTGACAAACTCTTTTTTTATGGCTTCCTCCTCCTTTGTCTAGCTGGAGTTTTTGTTTTTTTTAAAGCTTCATTGGCATTGGGTGGATGTTGAAGGAGGGCTGGAGAAAGAGATTTTTCACTGTTGGGTTGTAGCAATGTGTCTGCAGTAGATAATGAAATAAAGCTTAAACTGGAAAGAATGGGATTCTGCTCTAGCTGAGCCTACTCTAACAGGATTTGACTGCCTATAACTGGCAAGGTAAACAGCAAATGCATCCACAATCCCTTATGGAGCATGTGTGAACAGTAAAATGGAGAGATTAGCTTAGCCTGCCTCACCAGCTTACTCCCTCACTTGCTTCCCCAGAATGTTTAAAAAAAAAAAAAAAAAAAGATGAGGGCATAGTTCACCTGCCAAAATGGAAATTATAAGAAAAAATGGAGGCTGGTGAAAGAAGTAGTCATTCCTGGATGCTTTGGAAGATGCCTTCTGGTGGCCTTAAGAAGGTACAAAATATTTTTTGTTTACTCACCCAAGCTTGACTTGGCCTGGCTGTTTATTATTGTTAGTTTTAAATAAAGAGTGTGCTGAAACAGCCTGTTCATTTTTGTGGTATAAGAATCTATCTCTATTCTTTCCAGCTTGGACTCTAACTAAACAAAAAATATTTTGTACCTTCTAAAGGCCACTAGAAGACACCTTTCAAAACAGCTAGGGGTGACTTCTTCTGTCACCTGCTTCCACTTTTCTTATAATTTCCATTTCTGCCTCTGGTACTAAATTTTAAATTGAACAACTAATAATAATAATAATAATAATAATAATA